AGGGGGGGGGGGCGGAGGAGAAGTTAGAGGTGAGGGTACGAACTGGGAGTTGAGAACACCATCGAATCGGATTCTTCCTGTGACGGCTTTACCAAGCAAAAGGTGCGCCTTCATATTCGACGTCGGCAGCGCGTGCGGCAGCTCTGGCATCGTCCAGGAGCGTTGGAGGTCCACAAGCAGCGACGCAGAACGTTGGGTTTCGTCCAGACGCAAACAAGTGAGATTCCGACTTGATGCTCGAAATTGCTTCCCCAATCTCTGTTCTTCCAACAGACCATCGAAAGTCAATTTCGGGCTTGAGGGCGTCGAAGCGCGCGTGCGCGGAAGAGGACAGGTTTTGCGTGTGAGGCACCTCTTTGCCGAGCTCCGGCACGTCTGTCGGTGCTGCCTTCTCATCGGTGGCGCTTGGCGAGTCTATAGATGCCGCGTCCTTCTCAGAGACGTCCTCCTTGCTCGAGCTTTCTGTACGACAGAGATGAACACGGAAGGCCGTGCGCTTCGTCGCGGTGCCACTCGCGCGAGCAGCACGTAGCTGCAGCACGGCTTCTTCTAGGTAAGGCAGGGCGACATCGAAAGTGGCAGCGGACTTGCACATCCAGCGCATCTCGACAGTGCGTTGTGCAGCAGCGCCGCTGGATTCGCCAGCGTCGCCTTGGGTCTTGCCACCATTGCAAGCAGCTTCGGCTTTGATCGACTCGCAGAGAATGGGCAGAGTGTGCGCAATACCGACACCACCTGCCACCAAGAGCGCACCGCCATCATGCTCAGAGATCTGCGATGGAAATGGTGGCGATGACAAGGTCAGAGCTAGCGCTTGACCGTCTGCGCCCTTCTGACTATGACACTCACCTCTACTTTTGCGGAGTACGGTCCTTCCACGAACATCAGCGTCTCGAAGCTGGCCGTAGGTCCCTCGGAAACGATGAGCTTCCTGAGCTTCTTTTGAGCCCTTTGAGTCATGCCCTTGCGAACGCGGACAAGCATGTCAGCATAGAGACCCTTTGCGTCGGTGCCAGAAGCAATGACGGAGAAGGGATGTGAAGTCATGGGTTCGAGCAATGACACGTGAAGCAGGATGTCTGATCCAGGTGCAAGAGCCGCAAAGCGCTTGCGCATTGGGCCGGATGGCCAGATGCGCACGCGCAACAGATCCTCATCGCTGTCTCCAGAGCCACTGGCAAGGGAGATGGTGCCGCGAGTGAAGAAAGCGCCGCTATTGCGAGTGACGTCGATGTTGATGAACACTAGTAAGAGGAGACGTACAACGCGGTCAAAGACCCAGAAGGCAGTCGAGATCCAGATGAAGTCGATGAAAAGCTTGTAGGACGAAGCCTCAAGGAGGGCAATGTGGTAGTAGGTGCCGACCAGTGTGAGGACGCCAAAGACGATGTGGATCAGTACGAAAGCTTCGTAGCAGACTTCTCGGAGCATGCGAATGCTCTGAAAGATCATCACAGCCATAAAGACTGTTGCCACGACTCCCCACCGCCAGTAAGGGTCTGCGAAAGCTGTTGCAAGGTTTGCTTTGCCGTAGTGCAGGGAGTAAACAGTGTAGCCGATGGAGTGAATGACAGCCTGAAGGGCGACTATTCTGGCGACCCAGCGGTGGTACATCATCGCGGTGGTAAAGTCCTGTCCGGTCAAAGCGCGCACCGGTGAGTTGCGTCCCGAAAGCAAGATGACGAGAGGCAATTGCCCAAGACTAAGGACACCGGCACGGTCAGAAAGATATCGGCAGCTCTGGATGAACGTGTCGCCGGGCCAGTAGTAGTTGTTGACATCGGTCTTGTAAAAAGCGCAGATGCCGAGCAAATTGAGAAAGACGAGCAGGGCCAAGATGACCGTCTGCCCTCGCAAGGGCAAGGCGATGGAGAGTGGATGCATTTTGCCTTGTGCTGTCTTCGACTTGCCGAAACCGGGAGTCATGGGGACAGGCGATGCATGTCGGCTTGATACAAGCGGCGCATCGACGATGTGTTTGGAAACGAATTTGGGCGCCAATTTGTAGAGACGACCAGAAGTCGACCAATTGAGGAGACGGAGGAATGCGGCGCCCAGGACAAGCAGCGCAAAGCCGCCGAGGATGACGAAGACGAAGATAGACGGAATCAAGAGTGATTGTCTATGGACACGGACAAAAAGCCGTTTAGCATCTGCGACCGCTTTCCGGCATGACATGCCTGCGTCCACTCACTGATTGAAGTCGTTGTTTGCTTGCAGCGCCAATGGCTGTTCCTCGGGTGTGAGAGCTTCAATGTATTCGAGGCTCTCCTCGTCGAGTTGCCACGGGTAGCCCATACTTGCAGGAGGGAGTCGGCGGATCGGGGCAAACTTAAATCGAGCAGAGAGCAGAGGGAAGCAGGATGTTGCGTAGGAATTGAACAACGACTCGTATTTTTCCTACTTATTTGTACCCTAGCTCGTACGTTTTGCGCTAAGGCAGCTTGTCCAATGACAGTCGAGCCGAAACCTTGCACAGCGTATCAGAAGTTGAGAATCAAAGCCCGGAGAATTGCGCTTTGACTGCCTACGGCAAAGCGGCTTTACATCCGGCGGGCGGATACGTCGTTCTACAGTGCCCACGGGAACGAAATGTCTGTATAGTGGTGGCTTGCAGCAGACTGAGGGATGTGTTGCGGAGGTTGAAAGTTGATCAGATGTTTGCTGCCTGTGTACGACAAACACCGCGATGCATGGAAGGAGCGCTGGCCGGAGGAGTGCTGGGAGCGATGTCGTGCCGATGGACGTGAGAGGCAAACGAGATGCTGGGCTTGCTTCCATATACGGGGGGTAGCGTTGCAGCAAGGCCATTTGATTGAAAATTTGTTCGTTCATCTCGCCACAAGCGACGTTCCTGCATCAGATCAGCCCTTGCCTGCTGGGCCTCGACCTAAGTGAGACTCAAGATTATAAATGGTCCTCTGTTCCTGAGCTGAGGTCGACATCGAGGCTTGCATGCACTATACGCAGCAGCAGGTGTGGCTGTCGAGGATCGCGCGCAAAAGCCAGTCGTAGAGGAGAGCGCTGAGTTTGCGTTCGTTCGTCTGTCGTTCGTTGTATATAGTCAGTCTGGTGAAGGCGCATCGTGGCGCTTGTGAAAAGGCTAGCGCAGTGAGAGATGCAAGTGATGTTCGTCTGTCCGACGCCTTCGACCACAGCGGGTGTGTCATGCGGCCAAGCTTGGCTTTCGTCTGCTTATCGAGCCCATCATCGCACTTCGTCGCGCAGCCGCTAGTGGGTCTCCCATTGAAGCAAATTTCTGCGCTCTGCCAGCATCGGCGGTAGAATTGCGCGGTGGGGGGGGGCTCTTCGATGCATGCTTTACTCATTCACCTCACAAATCCAGACTCATCCCCTCCAAGGAGCGACACGAGATTGACTGAAAATCACTTCGCAGCCGGCGGCTCTCGAGTCGAGCATGTAGCGAGCGGAAAGATGTTTGGCCAGCTTCTGAGCTGGCCCCAGCCTGAATGTGCCTGCCGCCGGGTTCTGAGGTGAACAGGTTTGCTGCCCGGCATTCACCATGTTCGATTCTGATTGCGAAGCTAGACCGAGCATGCTTCGAGTTGCAGTTTTTGCGAATCGCCGGCCAAAGGTGCGGTGCACACACACGGTCGGCCGGGTGGATGGACTCACGACGACCAGAGCTGCCTGTGCAGCGGAGCTCGCATGTCCGCCCGCCCGCCACGATCTAATCGCATCTGATCTCTGCTGCATACAGTATCAGATCTGCAGCGCGTGAGCCGTGCCAATAGCTGCGCGCGCGCTGTGCAAAGTCGTCTGTCTCAACGTACGCCTACCGCTCGCACCACTCACGACTGCAGAGCTAGGGGTGAGAGAAGCTCGAGAAGGTTCTTGTGGTTGCAAGGCGGAGAGGGCTCTCATCTGCATGCATTCCCCGTCTCCCTCATCATTACGGCCCCTCACCGTGTCTGCGCAGCAGCACGCACACCTTTGTGCGCCTTCGCAATGCGCAGCCAAATTGGTCAGAGAGCATGCATATCACCGCGCCTGTCGGCGCGCGCGAAGACCGCCATCATCCACATCACGTATATACGCGCAAGGCAGGCGCAAGTCGTGGCCGCTCGCTTCTGCCTTTGCAGCAAGTCATGCTTACGCAGCAGTCGGTAAATACGATACCCGATCGTCACCCCAAGGGAGTGATACTTGCTTGGCTGTGCGGCGAATCCTGCGGGTTCAGCACGCGGGCTGTTCGACTCCTCGTCCAGAGGACGCCGCGTAGGCAAAGAGCTTCCGCAGTCAAGAACCTGAATACGGGTACAGCATCAAGAAACCTCAATGCGTGCATATATGGATGTAGTCGAGCGGGGCAGCAATCACGAATGAGTCAAAGCCACACCCTGCTCATGCATCACACGGCTCATTCCTCGCGGCCAAGCTTCAGCAGACACAAACGCGCATCAAGTGGATGAGGCCGGACGAGTCTCGAGTCTCGAGGGCTCTCCGTGCATCCAAGCACTGCCCGGTGCACGAGCATTCAAGACTCCATCTGGTCGCACGCTCTTTTCGCTTTCTTGTGTCCTCGCACCATCTCAAGTCCGGTATGAACGGCAGAACCTCACGCAGAGTGATGTCGCTCCAAGCGTCTTATGGCCATCATCGTGACGCGTGGCTCATATCAATCAGGCTGGGCGTAGGGCGCACGAGTCAAAAGCTGTGTCGAGTCGCGCACCAAGGGCTTCGATTTGCCTTGAAGAAGCCTACTCTGCGTCGAGTCGCAACAAGCCTTTGGACAGAGAGGCCCGAGGTCAGAAAAGCATGAGCACAGCAGTGACTCGACCGGGCAGCCACGGTGGAAGATTGACTGCGTGGGAACCGTCAAAACGTCTTCGTGCGAGGTAGCTGATGAATCTGGACAGGTCTCAAAGGCACGTACTCACCATTCACTTCCACTCAAGCTTTGGCGACTGGTATCACGACTATACATAGCTGCATGCATGGACGGTGACCAATCTGCTCCAAATCTCGTCACTCAGGCTCAGCTCCTTCCGCAGCTTTCAATTCAGCGTTGTGGCGCAGGTCAAGGCTGCCTTATCGAGTCTTGTCCACTTTGACGCCACTATAGCTATGTGCATCAGCAACATTCATCGCAAGTGACCCGCCCGGGGGCAACAGCAAACCACGCAGTCGTCGACCGATCGAGTCCGACGCTCTACTTTCAAGATTGTGATTGACGATTCGTGATCTGATTCAGATTCATCATTCACGATTGGAGGACAAATATATGTCAGCTTACAGCTGTCATCTGGCGGCTCCGCGCTATACCTACCACACGAACTGGCAGCAGCGACTTGCCCATGGTCTGTCGAGCTGACGCGCGCACAAACAACACGCTACACAGGTATATGGAAAGGACTCAAGACTCACAGCACTCACATGCTGTATGGCACGCTGTTCAGCCCTCAAAGTCCGTACAGCGGATCAGCGCCAGCATCTATACAGCTCATCGCGGCGAAACTGAGCTTGGTCTATACATAGCTCTGATGACACACCGCAAACCGGGCATACCACTCATGTCTTGTCGCCGCTGCTGCTCACGTCAAAAGCAAGCAGCAATTGTGATCTCAAGACCCACTTCGACGCCCAGCGACGAAACAAATGGCACGACTTGATTGCTTGGTCTTCATTCGCTGCTCGTGACTCTCGATTCGCGCATATCAATGTGCTTCGTCCCCTTCGATGTGAGTGAGTCAATGCCTAAATAAGCGTGATCGAAAAGATCCATGCGAAATCTGCTTTGGGCTGAACCTTGGCCGTATCTTTCGCGCAGCCTCTGAAACAAATGTTGCATGAATGCAATCAGAATAGAAGAATGGAACATAGCGCAAGGCTCAATCACGAATGTGAATTAACCAACCAACTCTGACGTGCTCGACCGACCCCCCAGCACCGGCTCGACTATGCATGGAGCATCGCTGCTCTCTTTGATCGCATACTTGACAGAAGCGACGACTGCTCATCTCCGAGTGGAAAGCACTCACGACTGAGGACCCTAGATTGTGAGGCCGACACAATGGCTTCGTCACATGTGCACTGCGCCCACTTGCGGATCTTTATCTTCAGCAATCATCAGTCACTCACGACATTCTGCGTGAATGTCAGAAAAAAAGCCTGCACAAGGCATGTTCGGTCACACCTAGCTAGCAGACACCACTCCTTCTTCTCGTGACTGGTGTAGCGCTGCTGCGCGCCCTGGAGAGAAAAGTCAAGATCGAGTGCATGAAAGCAAATATGGCCACTTTGACTCTTATTTACCTCGGGCCGCGCCTTCGGCAATCACAATCTAGCTGCATGGGAGAGGGCTGTGCTGAAACTCATGGAGTTCAAGCGCTATATATGTATATCCTCTAACTCTGGACGTGCGTGGGTTGCATGCCATGCAGCCGTCCGTCATCAGAGAAGGGCAGCTTGAAGATCGCGCCGCAATCAAAAGCAAGAAGGGCATGGGCAGGGCGGGAGCCTACAATCGTACCAGAGAACCGCATACTTCGAGTAGTGCACGTATAGGCTGCCTCGTTCTGCGCAGCACAGCGTTGGCACGGAGAGACTGACGGCAAGGAGGTCGAACACGCAGGGGAGCAGGCTGTAGGTGCTTCCGCGAGATGTAGCGCAGGCTCTTGCGCGCGCATAGCCGCAGCAGGATTCGTGATTGGCTCTGCGCAGCCAGCAGATCGAGCATGTCAAGGCCAGCTCGACTGCATGTTCATCAGACTGACCTCAAATCAAGACTGATCGGCGCATCATGCGACGCTCTTCAATCTTGAATCGAGGATGTTTGTTGCCAACAGCTGATCCTCGGAGCAACCCTTCGACACCCAGCTGCACTAAACTTTGCAGCTGAATCACCCTGCGTGAATCTGATTGCTTGCTGCCAACGCAAGTGAAATCGTGAATCACGGACCACGACACGCTGCTGGCATCGCACGAACTCGTGGCGTCTGACGCAACCTGCTTATTCACCTCGACCCTCAGCAGCCAGAAGAACGACAGCTTCGCCGGCTCGCACCCTTCGTACCATGCCTTCTGTCAAAGTCACACTTTGCTGCACGTTTCGCCGATGAAGATATCGGCTGCGAGACTATAGTGGACCAGACGCACATCTCGTAAGACCCGCGGAGGAGCGGGGCTACAGTATCGTTCTCGATCGACACTCGGGCAGCGAGCATCTGCACACTGGCTGGTCATTACCTTTAGCAACGGTGGAAACGAGTCCCGGCGCCCGACGGATCAGCTCTGCCCTTCGGAGAAGCGGAGTATCGAGACAGTCCAACTTTCTTGGCAGAACACCACTGACCACACCAACGTCGAGCCAATTCTTGCTGTGTATCTTATTCTTTGGAGCGTCAAGCAGCAGCAGAGCAGCGACTCAACTTGCTTGACCTGTCGTCGACAGCAAGTGATGCAGATCGTGTGCTGGCAGCCAAGCATCTCAATCCACACCCGCCTATCCTCTTGCTGCATGGAAATACCATCAGACATTCAGCGACTCGCCCAAGTCAAAGTTGCAGCGGGTCCCTCTCAATTGGTTTCAGCGCCCTCGCTCTTGCGCCATCGCAATTCTGCCGGAAGGCGCACCGCATCACACGTATGGCTTTTGATTGTCAAGATCAGGTCAGTCTATCGCAGCTGAATGGCTAGCGATTGTGAATGCAGTTGGGCATCTCAAAGCGCATGATTTGCTGCACGACAGCAACCTCTGCACAAAAAGCAGCATTTCCAATCTTCCCGGCAGGCGTAAGAGTAGTGCTATCGTCTTGGCTCTTGAGTTATATAGAAGAACCTCGGAGCCAGACGACAACGCTATTCTCCATGCTGATACCCCTCCCCCGGACCACACTCTCAAAGTCTGTGGCACCTTTCTGCTTGCCGCCTCGAGAGACCTTTGGCCTCAACATGCCTGCAACTTCAGATCTCTCAAACGCCCAATCTGGCTGGTATTTGGAGCCACAAGGGGCTCTAGTCAGTCCCCTCGGCGAAGTGTACGATCTTGATCCGAATCTCTTCAAGTCGCAACAGCACTCTGTATCCCAGGATCAGCTTCTCGAGAGTCGCACCACAGAAGCTAGCAGTCTGCCTGACAACGTGCAAACATACTCGTCTCGCTCCACCTACGACTTCGCTACGTGGTTTCGCGATTTGCCGCAAGCCGACGAAGGCGATGCTGAACAGTGGCGCAACCTTCCATCTCCTCCTTTCCAGCCCCGCAAATCGCCTTACCTCGGAGAGGATGTTCTGGAAGCCAGTTCGGACGCATCTGGAGCTCGCTTTGACGACCTGGATCCCACCATCGGAACTTCGAGTCCTTCCAGCTTCGTCTGCGCGAGAGCTGCAGCGATCGAACGTCTCGGAGCGCTACAAGCCACGCAAATGGATAGTACCGCCGTTGCAGCATCGTCTCGACGCCCAGCAATTAGTCCTTTGCGTCTAGCAGCACAGCAGGGTGTGACATTTGAGCCCGTTCGACGAGCCTCACCCAACTCTGCGACACAACTCAATAGCAGATCAGCATTCCACTCTGGTCTAGGCGCCTCGCCTGCTTTGCCGCACCTCAGCAGAGAGAGCCCCGCTTCGGCATCGGTACAAGTTTCTGACAGCCCTCAAACACCTAATCCCTTGCTCACAGGCCATACTATCGGCGCGAGGTCTTTCAGCCCTACATTCCATGGTGATGTGCCCCAACTTCCGGCAACTGGGCCAGCACACGACCGCGCTGCTACGATCTGCACAACTTTCAATCACAATGCCCTCGGCCTTTACACCGATGACGGCGCCCAGTACAGCATAGGTCGTAACGCGTGGCCATCTCCGGTCTCAGCACCAAGCCTTCTCGTCAGGCAAGATCACGTCGAAGAAGCTGCTGCCTGGATGACACTCCAAAAAGTGCAAAGCGAGCAGATGCACCACCAACAATTACTGGAAAATCTCCACTTGCTCAAATTTTGGCAAGAGCAAGCTGATTCGCAGACATTGTCGAATCAAAGACTGCCTCACAACAATGGCAGAGTAGATGGAGGACCAAGCCCTTACAATCGTTAGTCGAGCCTCGCCTTTCCGGCCCATTGCGCGCGCTGACGATCGCTCCACTCCGACTCTGCAGGCAAACTTGGGGTAAGCGTGCACAATTGTCTTCTTTTCCTGCTCTTGACTGATATGTCACTTTCTTGTTACCGTCAGCTGTACAAGACCGAGCTGGTGCGCCCTTTGTTGCTGTGGCTTGACGTTTCCCTGGCTGATATTCGACGATGATCTTGCCGCAGTGCCGAAGCTGGGAAGAGCGCGGGGATTGCAGATACGGCAAGTGAGTGCAGCTGCATGACCTCTCCAGTCTTCATGGACGTCGCACTGACATCCTCTGCCTCTTGCCTCTTGCAGCAAGGTGCGAGGTGAAGATTGACTCCTGAAGACCTACCGCTGACAGCGTCCGGAACGTTGGCGACAGTGTCAATTTGCTCACGGTCCCCATGAGTTGAGACCAATTGAACGACACGCAAAGGTCAGTCGCGAGCGCCCAGACTATCTTCGCGTGCTGACACCATCTCTTCTGCCACTCTCCCTCACAGTACAAGACTGGTGAGGTTTATAAAGCACCCGGCTTGGCTGCAAATCGTGCTGAAGCGAAAATCTCCTCCTTGTCCGCTGCTAACGACAGAGCCGTGCAGGTACGTCGTCAAGGCGCAACAAATAGGCGGCGGATGTGGGTCCCAGGGTGCTGATCGAGATCTTCCTTCTCCAACACAGAACCTTCGAAAGGTTTGGGTAAGCAGGAACGAAACTGATGCGGAACTGAACCTCTGTTCCTGATCAAGCTTTCGTTCTGATCTTTCGCAGCACGTGTCCGTACGCCAAGCGATGCTGCTTCATTCATGTAAGTTTGATTGGATTCTCGATACGTGTATCAGTTCTGCAAGAGATTGAAACAGTCTCATGACTCCTGCTTCTTTGATAGACTACGGCTGCAAGCGCTGCCGCGACCCAGCCCACCACTGACATCCCTCGCAGCGGTGCGCCTCTGCTTGCTCGAGTGGGACTTTCTCCTGGTAAGGTCACCGAGCGTTCAAACATGCTCGAAACCCATGCGTGGCCATCCTCGGCTACTTTGCCCCAAACAACGACCGCTCCGATCAGCAGCAAGTCTCTTCAGAAAGCCATGGACTTTGGCCAGAGCGCTGTCATCGACTCCAGCTTGAGTCATGGGAATCTTCACAGCGGTCAGCAACATTTCTCTGGAGCATCAAGCGGTGAAGGTCTGTCTGCACAAGACTTCGTCCGGCGTCGAAGCTCTTCCACCCCACACCCCGACAACAGCGGTGCGGCCAATTTGTGGAAGAAAACTCTACCTTCGACGATGGATTTGAAAGGCGCACCCGAGCCAATCCGACCCGAAGACCGTCGCCGCGAGCTGACATCTTCATCGGATTTTTCCTGGATCAGTGACTTCAACGAAAGTCTTCGTCTATCCTCTACGTCGTCTACGTCCGCCGGTGCAGCCCCGAAGACCAAGATGTTCTACCACGCCTAAGCGGAATTTTGCGAGCACGTCTACCCTCGACGTTCCCCTTGAATCCATTTTCTATGGGTACGGCAAGCAAACAAACAAGAAGTATTCTCCATGTCAGCCAATATGAAGCTTGATCCAGCGGATAAGAAGTGGGCGCATCGCGCATGGCTCGTTATTTCCGCTCTGATCCTCAGAGCAGTTCTTTTCTCGACCGTTCGAGAAGGCAATTATTTCAGATACTTCGACTTATGATACATGATACAGCTTTTACACCCTTGAGACTCGTTGATGAATCAGATTGTCGTTGTTAGTCGCTCCTCTGTTTCTGGGCTCACATCAGCTGCAAAGCTCGATGTGCACGGTCTTTCTCATCCGACCTGCAGAGACCGATACATCCCTCTAGCACCTTTCGAAGACACGATCTACCAAAAGTGTCATACTCTTGTAATTAGCCGCGAAGCACTGTGCATGGGGACAATCGCAAGAGCTTACATAGATCTGGCAAGTTGGCAACTTGCACCACATCGCGCTCCAGAAGCTGCAGAGCGAATTTGAAAGAGGGAGTAGACCTCGAGAATGAGTGGCAGTGCAACGTCATGTGATGTAGTGCCAGATATGTAGTGCCAGATCATCTCACCGATTTGGGCGCATTGAACGGCGTGCGCTTCATTGCTGCCATCCAGACGTGATGGACATCAAACACATCTTTAGCATGCTTCGCAGTCAGTGCGCGCTCCGTCTCTACTTGGTCCTCGCCGATCTGCATCTCTCTCCTGGGCGTATTCGATATGTTCTGGCCATGATCCGCCGATCCAGCGCAAAAGGGCACGTGAGCAAAAGCAATCTCTCGCGCGATGCTCTCGAAGCAGCCTTTTTCGTCCTCCCAGTCTATCTGAGGTCCAAGACGCAGCATCAAGGTGGGCAGTCGTTCCAGCGGCATGCTGGCCTGACCAGGAAGCAGCGCAGGGATACTTCTCAGCGTAGCATCTCCAGTATCGATGCGGATTGAGAAGTACTCTTCGAGCATCTCTGCTCTGTCGATCAAGATCGTCATGACTCGCTGCATTGCGCGAAAGGAAGTGGCAGCGAAATGAGTTTGCAGAGAGACTCGAGCAACCTCATCGAGCTTGTACGCACCTCGACGATCTCGTCGATGGACATCCCAGCTTCCTCGATATCCGGTTCAAGATCTGCTGCGATCCGAATCAATCTCCTGATGTCGGGTGGTGGGTCGAGCTTCAGTGTCGCAAAGCTTCCGAATTGACGCATGACAAGCTGATACGCAAATTCCTCGCTAGATTTGTACGAAGGTGAGATCAGGGTCAAGAGCATTGCTTGCAACGACCAAGCGACTTTGCACGGGCCGAGGACGGAGGTGAAACTCACATGATCGCTGCATGATTGATCAGGTAAAGCTTGGTCTCGTGCTGTATGAGTGTGAGGGCCATTGTCGGATCGACCACGCCGACAAAGGTGTGATTCTTCAGTACTTCAGTGAGAGCTGAAAGTTTGAAACGTGGATGAAGGAATCAGCTTGTCTTTCTCCACTCAAACACCTCTACCAAAGGAAAATGGACAGACCGTGTACGATGATGCTCACCAACGTGTCTGACCTTGACAATCTGGGCGCGCAGCTCGCGCACACTGGTCAAAGAGCATTCGCTTTCGGCCACAGCCTGAGGAGCTTTTCTGACGCTTTGCCGTACGTCAACAGGTCTGTAGCCGCCAACCGACGCGTCGTCTTGTGCTGGGGCATCCTCTTCGGGCGAGCTATCAACCTCGCCCGGAGCCTGTGAAGAGAGCATTTGGGTGAAGCCCATGCCCAGCAAATTCTGATCGGAATTGTCGGTCCGTATCATGTGCTGAGGAGGTCTGTTTCGATGCGTCACTGCGGGCGTGGCATTGTCTGCTGGGTGAACGAGCTGGTTGTGTGAGAATACACGTGTCTTTTGTCTAGAGCATCAGAGCCAAAGGCACGCACCATCTGAAGCAGCATGGGAGACCGCTGCTCGTGGCTGATCAGCATCGCTCGCACCAGAAAGCAGCGCTTGCTAGAACCGCAGTCGATCCCGCACGTCAGCAACTTGATCACATCCTCCATCCTCGAACCCTCAGCGAAGCTCACGCTGAATTGGAAGTTTCTGCTAGCATTCGCTCCTGCCAAGACTTCTTGAGCCAGCGAGCACACCTCTTCCACAATCTCGTCCTCGTTCAGGAAGTGAACCTGTTTCGAGAAACTGCAAGATCAGTCTGACCTGCTCGGCTGCTATTCGATGCTGTAACTGACTTCTCGCTTTGTGGGATGCACGTTGACATCCACTTGATCAGGCTGGATCTCCAAGCTTATGTAGATCCATGGGTGCCCACCTTTGGGGAGGTAGGCGGCATATAGCGCTTCAAAAGAGCGTTTGAGTGCTGGACAGTCCACTGAGCGATCTTTTAGGGGTTGGGCAAGGGTGAAGTGCCCGCTTAGCAGCGCTGCGGTACGTCTTTGAGCTGCAGTCAACGAAAATGGCAAAGTGCGCTCACGATTGATAAAGCAGAGGAAGGTGGTCCGCTTGGCACTCCAATTCGCACCGCTGATGTATCCTTCAACGGAGAACTTGAGCTCAGGATGTTGGCTGAGCTTCAGCTGCACTAGCTCGCGCGAGACGGAGCTACCGTGTAGTGTCCTTATCACATCCAGCGTTGTAGTAGAAGGAGAGGATGAAACGCTCAAGTCTGCGGCGTTTGAGGAAGCCTGTGAGCGAGCAGAGGGCAGCTACACGCTTAGCGCCTGCGCAGTTGCAAACCTGCCAAATGGACGTGATGAGCTTCGCGCCAGACGGCGCTCACCTTTTTGCAGACGAAGCCCACGCCTCGACCTCCGTAGTGTACGGCATACCGAGCAGCCACGTCCAGCGCTCGGTTGTACTCTTCGGCTGCACTCTTGAGAGCTCTCTTGCGTTGGGGGACGTTGTAGAAGAGGTCTTCAGCAGTGATGAGTGTCCCATTCGTTCCAGCGCAAGGTTTCGGAGCAGAGCTCTGGCCCGGTTTGGGCGGGACCAACCCGCCATTGGCATAACAAGCTCCGTACGCGCAATCCGAGTCTCTCGTCTTGCTCACTACGCGCATAGATGCGCTCACATAGCTAATACTAGCCAGCGCTTCGCCTCTAAACCCAAAAGTCGTCATCTGGGATAGATCCGCAAAATCTCGGAGTTTTGAAGTGGCGAAACGTTCGGCGAGAAGCGGCAAGTCTTGAGGTCGGATACCACAACCATCGTCCTGGATTTGTAGCAGCTTCATTCCTCCTTCCCTGAGCGTGATGCGGATCAGCCTCGAGCCTGCATCTAAACTGTTCTCGATCAGCTCTTTGAGGGCATTGCTCGGCCGATGGATGATCTCGCCTGCCGCGATCCGATTGACCACGCTCTCTTCTAGGCGGACGATGGGCTTGAGTGGGACATCGACAAAGACATCGTCAGGCCCCGCATGAGATGTCGAGCTTGAGCTCGCTGGATCAACCGACTGCGCCTGCATCTGTGCAAGATTTTCCGGGTGAAGCGGTACGACTAGGAGGCGTGATGTGCTGTGTTTCTGCTCGAAGCGCGGGATCCTACCCTGACCTCCATTTGGAAACGGAGCTGTCTGGCTGCATGTGCTTCTGTCCTTTGCCCTACACAGAGGGGATGGCTTCTTTTCAGCAATGTGGCGTGCTTGGTCAGAATGAATCTGAAGTAATGAAGATGCGGCGCGACGACGCTTCACACTGCTGATTTTATGTAGCTGATTGCTTCGACGGCATTGTGATCGACGGCAAGTGTCATCAAGTCTTGACTGCAAGGCGAGAGGTGTGGTTTTGAGTCCAAGCATTCACGTGCTCTTGATTGAATTCAAGATTCAAATTGTCTTAATTTCCATTCAATTCAAGATTGCGAGGAGTCAAAAGTATTTGCGCAGTTGTGGAGCACGCGCTTTGCATATATAGCGCCCTGAGGCTCACGTGAGTGTGCAGCATACGTGGCACTTGACTTCGCACGTATTTGTTGGATCACGCATGCACAAACCATCATCTTCGTGAACATCATCCAACCAGCAGATCTCACAGTACTGTCGAGCGAGCTCAGTCTGCCCTTTCACCTCAGACCATCTTGAAACAACACTGCCTGGGCCTCACAGCTGCTCTCATCCTCCAAAATGCTCAACACGCGTTCTCTCGCTCTAGGCGCCGTCGCGCTTTTCGCGCTCACTTCGGGCTCCGTGCTCGCCAAAGATCCTCCCAAAGAACTTCAAGTCGGCGTCAAGCACAAGCCTGCAGAGTGCAGCATTAAGTCGGAGAACGGTGACAAGCTTAGCATGTGAGTTGTCGATGCTCGTAGGAATACACACGACGCTGCTGCGCGGAGAGGAGCCAGTCTGGCTGTCGAGCTCGGACACGGGGCTCAAGAGGAGGGAGGAGCTGTGGGCTGCAATCTCACTCGGGACGACGATTTGCTGAGCAGCGCGAGGACTCTACATGTGTATCATCACACCTCTGACATCAATGCTTCGTTACGTTGCAGGCACTATACTGGCAAGCTTTGGAATGGTAAAGAATTCGACTCCTCGATCCCGCGGGGAGAGCCGTTCGTGAGCACAGGCGAAGCTGGCGTAATCTGAGTCAGCCTGCGCTAATTTGCTGCCTCCTGCATCTTGCAGACATTCACGATCGGTGTTGGTCAAGTAATTGGAGGGTGAGGCAAGATGACATCTCAAACGCATGAGAGCGAGCTCGTCGAACTGACAACAAGGGCCATCTTTTCTTGACGCTCGACATAGTTGGGATCGAGGACTACTAGGCATGTGCATTGGAGAGAAGCGCAAGCTGCAAATTCCGCCCGAGCTTGGCTATGGGGAGCGCGGAGCTGGAGGGACGATCCCAGGAGGAGCCACGTTGGTCTTCGACGGTGAGCATGTGGAGGCACGCGCAATCAGCCGACTCAATCGCTCCGAGCATACATTGACCCTGTGCGCTTTCTTTCTTCGCCTTTTCTGACCTCGAAGTTGAGCTCATCGGAATTGAGGGCCCGGGCGCAGATGCGAGACGAGCAGCTGCCGACGAAGGTTCGATTGTCGATTCGGTCAAGGCAGGTGTGGCTGCTGCTGCTGGCAAAGCAGCCAAGGCAGCTGGCAAAGTGGTCAGCGGGGAAGACTCGGAAGGAAGTGTGGAGGCTGTGGTCAAGGAAGCTTTGAATGGGGACGATGAGCCTGCTGCATTAGTTCACGAGGAGCTGTAGGCGGTCCTTCGGATAGGAGAGTCAGAAGTAGGACACATCTGGATGACTGCATTTGCGATAAATCTCACCTCTATATCGTGCTGAACACCGAGTGTCACAGGGCCGCTGCCTCGATGTCTAACAAGTTCAAAAATCAGGCCGAAGTCGTCTTTCCCTGTCCGAGGGGATCAGACGAATGCTGCTCAGCAATAGCAGCACACCTGCACGTCTTCTCGAATTTGCGACTCTCCGCGTGGCGGGCCCGCGTTTGGTGAGCGCATCAGATACAAAAGAGGCAGCCGTTTCAAATTCAAGCCTTCGAGCTTCGCGCAGAGAAGACGAGCTGCAAGTCTTCGGTGGCACACATTAGCAAGGTGCGGTACCGGTCCTCGACCTTCTTGTGCTCACTTCACGATTCATCAATTCTTGATTTCGTGATCGAGGTGCCTGACGAAGTGGCTGCTCGTGACGCTCGATTCGTGATTCCCGTGATGCTCATCCCCGCATGCATGCAGGTGTTGATCTTTGCACGTGACCTCTCTTGCGCCATCGCATTGTCCCGTTGATCAGCGCAGGGCTTGCAAGCTTGCGTGTTATTGCGCTCTTAGTCAAAGTTGATTGCGGTTTCGCGTTCACGACACCAACCATTCAAGACTCATCACACTCTTGGCCATGACCACTTGTCAGCATCTGACAACTCGGCCCGTTTCTGCCTGACCTCCGAAGACGTTCAGAAAAGCCTCTCACTCTGTGACTTGGCGCTGCTACCTGGCTGCACCCTCTGCTCGCATACACCCGCTGATCAACACTGTTGTGCGGCTCAACAGCTTTTCGGACATTCCACTACTCCGACGTCTAGCACCTCGGTCGGAAGTCTGAGCAAGACGCAGCTCGATAAATCTACGTCAGTCACACGCGCTGATTTCCTCGCGGCGGTGCGCTACCGAGATGGCCACGGATCCATACCACAGCTTTGCCGCCGAGCTGCGTAACTCGTTGAGGTCAGCGCAAGAGCTAGCAGGTACATATTCCAAAGGCTCGGCCTCAAGCACGAACACGGACACGGACTCCCAAAGAGCGGCGCACGATGCGCTCGTAGATGCCCTCGAAGCTCTAGAAGCGGACATTGCGGATGTAAGGGAGAGCGTAAATGTGGTATCCCGGTCGCCCGAAAGGTTTGGCTTGGATGAGCAGGAATTGGGCAACAGGAGAAGATTCGTCAAGGACTGCGAAGAGCAATTCAAACGCTTGTCCAAAGTGCCGGGAGAAAGACCTACGACGACTCGAAAGTATGCGCCTGATGCGGGAGATGCGGACGCTGATCTGGAAAGAGGTGCTTCTAGAGGAGATGATGATGTCGAGGCGTTTGAGCGCGAACAGCAACAAGTGAGTGTCGAGGGCTGAGAAGCAAGCGCATGGTCGACGTGCGCTAGTAGTCGCACGGCCATGCGCGTGACGATCTCGAGTCTGACTCCTTCACGTCTCATCCTTTTATTCGGACAGTCATTATTGGCCCAGCAGGACAACACCCTGTCGCTTATCGGTCGCTCCCTCACCTCCCTGCGTACGCAAGCTTCCGCATTCGGAACAGAGATAGCCGAACAGGTGGAGCTCGTGGGAGCACTCGATTCGGAAGTCGATACGAGTCAGAGCAGGCTCAAAAGGGCAATGGGCCGACTGGATGAAATTGCCAGACGGAGCGACGATAGATGTGGTGGATGGTGTGTCTGGCTGCTTGTCGTTGTGAGTGCGTGGGGTCGCGTCATCAGGTTTTCACGCTACTGCCCCGTAGCTTGATGAGCAAGCAGGCACTGCTTTCTGCGGACGATCTTGACCCGCCCACACCTTTTCTACGGCAGGCGTTGATGTTTGTTCTCTTGCTCGTCATTTTGATATGAGGTCTGGCCTCATGGCGTCTGTCACGTGGCGCTAGACGTAGCGCCTCTTGTCAATAGTAGCGCAGGTCGACTCTCGACGTCTTGAGGTCGGCCAATGGGACAATGTGGCCGAACCTCGCGCACATCGCAACTCTTCGCTTGCATTAAGAGCAGCACCCCTGAAGGTGCAGGGCGCCAGAACAAAGCCGGACCATCGCCCTCGCGTCCCAGCGATCGATACGAACGTTGAGTCAAGATCCAACGGCTCGGAAGATGGACCGGGCCGGGACGGGCCCTTGAGTGCCGGTTCGTTGGGAGCTCAAAACGCGAGCTAAAATTCTATCATTTCCGCAAAGGCGTCAGCGTCGCTAGACTTAGGTGCTCCTGGCAATTCGAACTCCGACAGAGCCATCAAGGCCCGAAATGGCTCCGGCAAATCGGGTCCAGGAGCAAGACGCCTGTAATCACGTCGCTCGTCCGTACGAGGACTGGTCGAACCTCGACTTGCCCGATTGGGACAGATGAAAGTTTTGTGGCTGTGATGACGACCACATGGTTGTTCGCGCAAGCTTCATCTTGGCAGACTGTGGTTGTAAGTGGAGGCATCGGCTAAGAAGTACGGATCTCAGTCCAGCACGTCTACATCGATCACCGACACCGTCATCGACCTCATGGTGCACCAATCTCCGCTTTGCTTCGGCCTTTTGCCCGGAAAGCACTTGCCGTACCTAGACTCCGACCTGGTGATGTCCACCGCGCCTCCTGTTCGAGGTGCTGTGCCGCCATAAGAGCTCTGTGACATGCTGCGATCTTGCTGTCATCTCAAGACCAGCAGCCTGCTGCTGCTGTAGTGCCCCATGGCTCATTGTGGACAGCTACCTGTCGGACACTTCATTGACGACAAGGGAATGCATGTATCTGGCCTCTCAAGGCGTGCAGTGCGCTCTGCCGATTTGGAACCGAAAAGAGAAAGAAAGGGAGAGACTGTGGTGGCTACGCATCGCACTGGAAAGCGAAAGCAAGTTTGTAAACGACAAATACGATCGATCGCGTGCAGCACTTCATCAAATAAGCAGCCGCAGTCGTGAATTTAGTGGGATGACTCAGTTCGAGCGCGTGTTTGCAGACCCCTGCGACATTGAGACATGCTCTATCAAGCCATAGGCTTCGCGGGCATCATGCAGCTAGCTGATCGAAGCTATCATTTCAAATGCGCTACACCACTCTAGCCAAGGAGCACAATCAGCAGCTGTACGTAAAAAACAAAATGCCCGTTCCAAGACATGCTTTTGCTGATCCCTGCTGCACGCGAGGACTTTGCACCGGTGCACGCACGACGTACTCATACATATCATGATGGACTGATACTGCGCTGCTTTGCCAAGACGAGTCTGATGAGCAGTCTACAGCGAAAGCCGGCTGTCGCGAAGTTGCCCCTTTGAGCGTGCATGCGATGAAGTGCCCATCCACCTGTGCTGCTTGCTTGGTGGACGCAGAGCAACCGCGTCGTAGCCTCCATCGCCGCCGCCACTTTTCTCTCGACCCCAAAAAGCTTGAGCTTGAGCTTGTCTCAGAAAGGCAAGGGGAAAGGGCGTGGGAAATAATGCCGAGCTGAGACTTGCATACCAGGCTTCTGAGCGGTAAGGGGCGTTCCGCGGTGTTGCCCCAGCGGATACACCAAGAGAAAGGGGGAAGGAAGCGCTAGCTTCCCTGGCGGTATGGTTCCTCAGACGTGTCGCGCCTTCCCAAATGAGCCATGCTGGGCGTGGACAATGCTCAGTCGCCGGATCCTTACAGCTGACGAACGGTGCGAAAGCCATGCAAGTTCGAAGCCAGCAGCCGTGCCTCGCCTCTTTTTGGACAAGTCGCTCGAACAGCAAGGGCAATTCGTCGAGGTCTAGCAGAGGACGGGCATCAATTTACGCGCTAGACTTGCCTTGGTGGGAAATGTAGACGCGACGCGCGACCCCCCCCTGCCGATGCGATGCGTGTTCCGACTTGCTTGGCCAAGATAGGCAGGCAAGTGACGCACGTCTGCCGCGCTGCTTCTCCGAGTGCCAAATCCACCACAGCAAGCAAGGGTGATGCAGGGTTTGGCCGCCGTCAGAAGAGAAAGTGAGCGTGCGTGCGTGCGTGCTGCATGCATGCATGCATGCATGCATGCATGTGTACGCTAGCTGCACAAGCAGCAGGGTGCAGCAGTCACACTTTGCTAGCGCGTAACGTAAAGGTAGAGTTTGAACCTTGCTTTCCCGCCAGTCTGGTTCCTCCGGACTTGCCTCTTCGCGCCAGTCCGGCACTTGGAAGTTATCACCCCTCTACGCGTTCAAACACCCTCAAAGACTATGTACCCGGCCATTCTCGCCGAGCTTGGGCAATTGGAGAGGATTTCTTCTTGCCTTTATGCGCCGAATTTTGAGGAAAGGTCGACGATGAAGAGTGTGGGAAAGCTCTCGGCCACCACCCAGACTCTCATTGTGGCTGCATGTTCTGCTGGCAGCATCTTGCCCACTTTTGCGTGAAGATGTATGGCAGCAGGTGATACTTGCCCCTGAGCTGGTGCGGATGCAGCTGCGCGAGTCCGTGCTCAAGTGCTTTGTTGGGCAACATTGTCCACGCATAATCGAGGCAGTAGCACGTCTCTGCTCTTCCTGCACCTGCTGCTCACAGCTGATCAGTCGCCTTTGCTCTACAAGGAAGGAAGCTGCCAAGCACGCTCGGGTATGAGACTCCGACTGAGTCTGAACGCTGCCTCCGCCGAGTGTACAGACTGGGATTTCGAGAAAAAGGGGGAGCTTGAATTCAACGCGCTGAACCTCCGCTTGGGACCAGCGTCGGCGACATGCAAAGTACCCACTCTTTCTCAAGGCACTTGCCCCCCAGACAATCTGACTCGCGAGGACCCTCGGTCTCGCATAAACGATGTTCGGGGCATCAGCGTGCGGCGACGCATGCACCTGATTGAAAGAGGATGGGCTAGCTGTGCCATCTCCCATGGGGCAGGCACGGCCTGGCAAGGACACAGACTGTAGTAGTGGTGCATGGGCATATGGCGCACCTCTACGCGATCCACGATTTTCTTGCTATCAGAAGCTTTTTCGGCTCCGTCAGGAAAGCGCAAGCGGTGCCGCTGAGGTTTTGGAGCGCGCGTTCGGAATTGCCATGAATCGTGAATCACGAATGCAGGTTCCGACGACCATCAGCGTGCTCAATGACTTGGGCAAGAACCGATCTGTCCGAGACAGCAGGGTAAGCCATTTTGGATGGGATGAGATAACAGCAAATGGCGTTCGCCATTCATGATTCAAGTTGGTGAGTAATCCTGATGTTCGCCTCGATTTTGCTGAGCGGCGCTTAGAAAGCCTTGCATAAGCCAGATGGCAACACTCACTCCGTGTGCCGAGATCGCCTACGAGAAGATTGAAGTGGGGCTGCCCGTGGCTTGCGTTATGTGCGACCCGAGTCCGCGCGTTGAAGACTTGCTCCTCAATGCTTGCCTAGCACTCAATGCGAGTGATTGATGATGTGCGCGATACCGCACCCGGCTGAGTGATCGACCCCGCGAACTTGATAGTGGGTGGACATCCCACTATACTTGCACGACGTCATACATGCTCATGTAGGCAGTCACCGCTGTCGAGCCTTTTTGCAGCTCTTCTTTGTGGGTGCCGAGAGCGGTGCCAAAGGGTGTGAACAAATTGCAGCAGGCACCATGCGGGTAAAAGTGTATAGCCTTGAAAGTGCATGCTGCTGCTGCACGTCGAGCTGTCTGCGCACCTAGCTTCTGATGCCTGCGCGCGTCAACACGCTTCGCGGGCGTCCGCGCGGAGGTTCGCTCGATACTTGATTTGATACTGCGTCGGCGGGAATCACGAATTGAGTTCGCACTCCGCCCCGTGGCCGCTGCGAAGCCTGCCTGATTCGCTGAAAAGAATTAGGGCAAGAGATGGGATCCTGGGGCAGATCGCTTTGACTTTGTATCCACAATTGCCGCATGGCCGGGTAATGATCATTACCATCCACAAGATGAAGAAAGAACGCTACATCATCTTTTGCATGCTGGCAAGTCTTGCATAGGCTGTAGGCTGGCTGAGCGCAGATGCGAGTAAAGTCCTGCCTGCAGGCGCCGCGCTTGGGCGTAGGGCTTTGCCCCTGCGCGAGTCGGACTGCGGGTGATGATGCTAGTTATACTCGTGACTGCGAGCCCGCCGCCGTCCTTGCGCCGGCGCAAGTCTGTCCCACATTCCCGCGCGATTCGAAGAAATCGCCAGGTGGATGACACAAAGCTGACCGCACCATAAGGCGTTTCGGCGCACTCGCCGCCTAGTCATCATCCCTTGCGTTGGGCGCACATTCCACCACATGACCTCCAGCTCATATGGAAGTCGCGGAGAGCCTCTGATACGCTATACTGAAGGCGTCGATCGGGAGACTGATGTCCAGCCATGGCGGAACCATAGCGTTCTGCGTGAGCGATCTTGCGATGTGTGCGAAGTGAGGACATCTGTCGCTCGTCGGCGCTTAAAGGCCCTTCGCCCAAACGGGAAGGTGAACCGCCATGCAGAAGGTGGACACCGGAGCAGCCACAACGACTATACCTCGAGCACGTCAACACTGCTGGACTGCCTCGAGTCTGCGTATCGGTGCTGCGCAGTCGATCGTTCTGCGCAAAGCAGTGTGAGTAACAGACTCATCTAAAACTCGAGGTCGTGCCGTTTTGCGTCAAAAGTGCGACGTATTGCGCGACGCTTTGGTCAGGCCGTGTCTATCAAGAAAGCAGTGCTGTGAGTCCCTCGCTGTGGGGCCACTTCAGCTCGAGATCTGTGGACAGGATTTCGCGAGCACATCAGCCAGCCGGCAGATATCGACAGCCAAGAAAATTGATCAGGCAGCGCTCACTGTGAGTGTTGCCGCTCGGGCACAGTCGCAACAGGTTCGACGTGGGTCCATAGGCCTTTCGGGTACCCAAGCAATGACGTGATGTTGACAATAGCAATCTTCACCCTCGGCTCCGTCCTTTGCTCTGGTACAGTACCCTTTAGAATGGGGCGCCAGAGCAAAGCAAACACCAAAGATAGGGTAAGGCGATGAATTAGCGTTGAGCTAAACCTTGTTGTTTGTTGTTTCAACTCACTGTCGCATTCTGCCTCAGCACTGGTGATTGCCGCCATTGCCACCAGGGCTCGGGCTCAGGCTCAGACTTGCCAGAGGAGTGACCAATCGACCAAGTGGGCAACATCCGATTGCATCCCTGCATACCAGTTGTGTGCACTACCGACGCTCCTACACTGACGCATTGGCGGCCCATGGTGTGGCAAAAGCACATTGCCACTCGACTTGGACGTCGTGATCACCATGTGCACCATCGATTGCAGATTTGCCGTCTGAGATCAAAGTTTGTTAGCGTGACACCTTTGAACACACTTCGGCTCCGCGACCTCGATTAGAGGCTGGGCAGGGATTTGCGAGGTAGGCTCCTATCTTGAGGAAATTCCACGGCTTCGTTCTATGCCAAGGCATTAGGCATTAGGCATTAGGCTTGTCGATCAAAGTTTGCCCTGTCGAGCTCGTTCGTGCGCAGCTTCTTGGATGTAGCTCTCCTATAAAGCTTGAGTCCGACAGCGCATGCAAACCAGTGGGTAGTCATAAACCTTGATCCGCTTCCTTTACGTAGCTTCCGAGTAACCACTTCTTCCAGACCCCCGAACGAGAAAGATCTGCCATCCATCCAAAATGGGTTCGCTGCTTGTGCCACAGGCAAGATCGTTCGCGCCTCACTTCGAGGTCATGCCCATGTCGGTTCTGAAAAGACTCAACAGTACTTTTGCTACTTCTGTTGAGTCTTCTGGCGACTTGCTGAGCCGGGGTCCACTTCTCACATCCACGTCACCGTCCTTGCTTCGCTTAGACAGCGGCGCAACATCCACTTTCACCGTCCTCGCCATCATCACTGTCTTCGCCGTTTCTGCGTTCGCAACGCAGGCGCACCTAACGGACGATTCTCTAAACACACTTCTGGCTGCAATAGTCTGGCCTCTTCATCGTGCTGGCAGCCTTCTCAGCCACCTCGGCTTTCGCCATTTGGGGTCCTCTCTTCAGCATCTTGTCAAGGCGTCTCCCAAAGTAAGTTCTGCTGCGCCAATTTGACCGACCGCTTTTGCAGCGCCGAGAGATGGTGGAGGGAATGCGTGTAGGTGAAAGTTCCAAGAGTAAATGAAGAGCCACTGCTGGACGGTCGTGGCTGTGCGTGTTACGCAGTGCACATCAGCGCAGATGCCTACCGCATGCGTCCAAGCTGTCGCGCACGCGTCCGTCCCGATGCGGTTGCACCACGGTCAACGCTGCTCACTTGCGCGCGCGTTTGCGGTTGCAGGCGGTGGAACGTAAAGGCTGCAAATCGCGATGCTTCATGCTGACCAAACGCTCTCCGTCGCATGGCGACATCGGCCTGATAGAAACCTATCAAGACCGCATATCCAGCCCCACCAATCGTCCACGTGCCAGTGCGTACTGCTGCTGCAGTGTGAGAACCCGACGACTCGCACCAACGCTGATCCTCACATTCATGCCTCGGGTACTATCGACAGAGACATGTCCAGCTGTCCGAAGCTGGACACGCAGCCTACACTGCTGCGTTGAAAGAACACGGTGGAGTGGTTGGTATTCCGCGGCACGGTCGACTCGAGTACATCGTTGATCACCAATATGTCAAGGTAGGTCGGTGTGCTGCGTAAGCATTGAGCGCCCGCGGTGATGCTGACTGGCCGCTCTTGTTGAATGACCTTTGGTCCATCAGGATGTCCTGACCGATGCGAACAATTACTCTTTTGAGCAAGCTGTCACGTCCGTCCTTCACGTAAGTTCGACCGCGCTTGTCTAGATTTTGCCATCTTGCCACCAGCGAATAACGCTGTCCTTGAGCCTGCAGATGGAGTTCATGCTATGGTTCAAAGGCGGAACGTTCGTGCAAGAATTGGAAAAGCTGGTGCAAGATGGCGTCACACCTCGCCTGCGTGGGGTCGTCGAAAAGAGTAAGTTCCCCTCGCTGAATCCCGGTCTGGCACCCTTGAGATTTTGCCAACACTTTCTCTTTCCCCACAGTCGCGCCCATCTTTGCTCAGGAGGCTCATGAACTATTCGAGAAGCACGCGGGAGAGGAGACTCCGGACGAGGTGCTGATCGACGACATGTACACATGGATCCACCGTGGAATTGCACGCGCAATGGTCGTCTTGATCCTCGGAGAGCGTTACCTCAACGAAGAGATGACCGGCAGGTTCATGCGCATTGTCGTAGGCATTGCTCACCTCAGCGGAATCTACGAAAACGTGAGTTGCTTGACTTGCGCGCGTACGTGGCTCTGCACTCATTTGTGCTCCTACCTGCGACTCTAGACCCAATCTTGGGCACGTTACCCTCGTTTGCATGCGCTGAAAACTACCCTGGCAGTCATCTTTGGCACCGTCATCCCCGACTTTTTCTTTGGCATTGTTCCTCAATTGTGGAGGAATGTCGACTCTCACATCAACCACGGTCTAGACGTCGAGTCCTCAGACTACGCTCCCTTCTTGGACATTTTGACGGCCAAGCACCGCAATCGCGCAACGGGTGATATCAGCTTCTTCAACTTCATGTGGTCGGCCATCGTATGCCTTGGCATCATCTTTGCTTCGGTCCATCAAAGGTAAGCTCGGGTATTTGCGAAGCTTGGTACGTTGCGGCTGAGCTGAGACGTGATCCTTTTTGCACCTTGTCGCAGCGCGGTAATGGCAGTCTGGTGTGTCATGACGCTCGCCAAACGCCGCGACTACCAAGACGAGCTTCGCGAAGAGATTGCCGAAATCATCGAGATCGACGCCGAAGGCAACAAGTGCATTACTCTTGAAGGCTTGCGCCAAGCACAGAAGCTCGACTCCTTCATCCGCGAAGTACTTCGTACCAATGGCGCGCTATTTGCACCAGTCCGCTGCACCACTGCGCCAGTGCGTATTGGACCCTACGTCATCCCCAAGGGCGTCAACGTGATGCCTTATGTCAAGCGAGCAAACGAAAGTGTCGAAGCGTATGGTGAGAAGGGGACCACATTCGACGGTCGTCAATGGGTCGGCAATCGTCCTGCCGTACAAAGCGACCCTGCCTTCATCACATTCGGCCTGGGCCGTTGGGCTTGCCCCGGTCGTCACCTCGCGGTCGCAGAGCTCAAGATGATCGTAGCCACCCTATTTGAAGCCTACGATGTCAGCTTGGTCGGAGATACTTTTCGTTCTGGAGACCCGATGAACAACACTAGCGTTGCTCCCATTGGAACCGTTCGGTTCCGCAAATTATGCACCTAGGTCGTCCAACTTTCCTCGGAGCGCGTCGACACGGAGCGAACAGTAGATCACCTTCTCAGCATCCTTCTAATGTACTGTCCGCTGCCTCGCGCGCTTTCTTCGTGTGACGCAGAAGCTCTTCTCCAACTTTACTCCACTCTGATGCGCTTGCGGTGGTCGGAATGCAACAGAATGTACAAATCAATTTCGCACCACCCCTCCAGTATCCCACTGTTCCGACACTTGTGAAGTCAATCGCTTCGTCGCTCCGCCCCGGCATGTGCTTACCGTACAAATCACAATCATTGAGATGCACCTCCTCAGATCCTATGCTTCCTGCACCTTCGTTCACCCACTGTAGGGGAGGCGGACCCGACTTTCACGCAGCTGCATAGACCTCTGTAATTTGCATGACTTGATGATGAATGTTGCTAAAGATTAAGACCTCCTATACATGTGTTGCTGCTACCTTGTTGCGTGCATCCGGTGCTTTACCACGAGATCTGCAACGAGGCGCGATGACTAAATGCGGCATTAATGATGTGTGATTCAATTCTCCTCAGCGACGGTCCTCTCTAGCACGCTTCTTGGCTGCCTTTGCCAATTCCCGCTTTCGTTCCAGCTCTTCCTCTCTACGGTCTTCTTCTCTTGCTTGACGCGCGCTCCTCAGCTCTTCGGCATAGACGCTCGCTGCGTCAGCCTCCATATCGTCATCGTCACTGTAGACATCTCGGCTCTCGTACCTGGCATTCAGGTCAGAATTGATTAGCGCGCCATTCGACGTCATCGAGATGATGAGTCAGCACTCACTTGCTACGATCCATACCGAGCGCAGCCCAGACCTGGGAGCGCACATCGTCTCGCTTGCTCTTCTTTCTGTATCTGCCCGCAGATGCGCCGCTCTCGCTTTCACTCCCATCCGACTCGTAGTCGTCAGAATCCTCCTTCTCGCTCTCACCATCACTCTCTTCGTATCTCTGGGAGCGACCAGCCTTGGGCCGTCCGTGGACCATGCCAGCAGCTTTCTGTGCCTCTCTCCGTAGCGCTTTCCTTTCCGCATCTTCACGAATGAACTTTTCTCTAGGAGTCTCGCGGGCTGGGATGGAGACTTTCTCAGGCACAGGTAACGTCTGTCTGCCCGCATTCCTAGAGCCGCCTACGGCCAGCTTCTGCTTTGTCTTGCGAACCTCATCATCCGAAGGCTTTTGCGATTTCGCGGCGGCGCCTGTAGAGGACAGCGGACGAGAAGGTGCACCGGGAAGAAAGTCTGCTGGGTTGACACCGTAAGATTTCGTCGCCAGCGATTTCGAAGGGCGATCGTCGGAGGCTGCTCGAGCCTCACGTTTGTCAGAAGAGGTGCTGCCAATCTTTGCCTTGAGCTCCGATTTCAAGGCTCTCTTGTGATCCGGCTGTTCCTCGTCGTCACTGCCAAATAGACTATCATCCGACTGGTTCGGTTTTCTCCCACTCTCCATCAGGCGCTTTTTCTCCATTGCCTTTCGCCTGCGCTCGAGCGTCTCCAATTCCGTCTGCTTGCGCAGGGCTTCTCTCACAAGCGCGGGATCATCGCTCGCTCGAGCAGCCTTCAGTTCGCGCTCCACGTCTTCGATGCTCCGGTAGGTCTGACGACCAACACCAATGGCCAGCATCTCATTCTTTCTGTTGCCGACGGGGGCTGATGAGATATGCAGCGATCTTCCTGGCGTCATTGAGTAACGCTTCGACACGGGAGGAGCGGGTGGCTTCTTTTTTGACTTTTTCGCTGGCTCGCCCCACATGGCTTGGTTCTTGCGCGCGCGCTGTTCCTCTCTGGTCAGGGTTGTGGTGCTTCCCGAGCGAGTACCCTTTGCTGAATCGATCAAGTCTTGTCGGAGCGATGAAGAGGCTGCATTGGACTGTGAGGAGCAGAGCTGAGAATTTAGGCTGCGACGGCGATTGTGCAAAGTGGCTGAGGAGGGGTGATCGCACACACCTTTGCTGCGGTCCTCTTGCCCCTTGCTTTCTCCTCTGCCAGTTTTCTCTCCCGCTCCGCTCTCTCGGTCTTGGCAGCAGCTCTCGCCTCTTCCAGCTTCCTCCTATGAATTTCATCATCTCTCTTTCTCTGCTCTGCCCTCACAGCTGCTTCCCTTTCCGCCTTTTGCTTTCTTTGCTCAAGCACTTGGGCTGCCTCTCTCTTGCTGCGCTCAGCAGCATCTTTCCGGGCTCGCTCTGCTGCTAGTGTAGCTTGCGAGGCTTGTGTTCTAGCAGCGGCTCGAGCTCGAAGTGCACCGAACTGAGAGCAAGAGTGAGCGAGGTGCGTGAATGCGTGAAGGCGTGAGTACTCGTCGGTAGACACGCGACATGTCTATCAATGCCTCACCTCGTCCTCTGCGGGCATCTTGCCCTTGCAGTGACTTGGGCTGAGCAGGACGGAGGGGGACTCGCAATAGCTTCGCCCAAGTCGCACGATCTTTAACGTCGCTGAAGCTGATCGGCGTTGGACCGTGAATGGGAGCTCGTTGACGACGAAAGTGTAGGTATCAGGCCAGCTCCACGTTTTGATGCTTTCGATTCGAAAAAAGCATCCCGGCGGGTGATGATGGTGCTGGCGATGTTTCAGATGCACTTGAGACTTCTGGGTGGTTGTTGGGATGCAGGGCCAGCTAGTCGGAGTGGATGTAGTCGTGAGTGAAGGGCCACGATCGAGTTTGTCTGATGGGCCCCCAGGCGGATGCAAAGAATAAGGGGCACGCACGTGATGGCATAAAGCGCGCCCTCCACACGCTGCTGGCCTCTGCAGGCTTGCTGACAGCTGACCCATGCATCACCCGCCTTCAAAGGCGGTCGTCTGCTTCAGGAGGAGGTGCAAACAGGTTTGAGGTTTGATGGGTGTGAGTGTGAGTGTGCGTCGATGAGGTCCGTCGAGCTCAGCATCGTGGGAAGACAACGAGAGTCAAGGGGAGTCACGACGATGCTGAGCACCTTACACACCCTTGACCCTCTTTGTCCTGCTCCATCGCCTCTCCGTTCGCTCGCCTACCTCGCGCTCTACCGTCTCATGAATCGGCCCGTCAGCGCAGTTCGACATCCACGCAGCGCAATAATTCGTACCGCATCATCTCCTTTCCACCACAGTCAGTCGTGACTTTGAAAAGTCGCCTCTACCGAGCAACGACCTTGTTTTGCGGACCATCCGACTCCATACATGGCCGCCATCTGACAGCATCCTCTCAAGTTGGACTTCGCAACGACGAGGCTACTAGCTGCGCACGCCGGTGGGCTTTGCGCTCAGCCGCAAGCGTCTTTGTTGGTCAGGCACTGCGCCGTGAGCGTTCGACATTATCACTCCACCAGCGTCACCTTCAGTAGGGACGAAGCGGACAGGATGGCGAGCGACGATGCAGTGCCTACAGGACCGAGGCAACGCACCTCTAGGCGCGCTGCTCCTAACGGCTCAGCAGGGCCACAGCCACGCGCCTCATCAAGCTCTTCTTCCACCTCGCCTACGTCCTCATCGACGTCCCTCTTTCCTGTCGGAGACATCTCTCCGATCCAGACTGGGCCAGATGGCATTCATCGTGATGTGGCCGCACCCCCTTTCAGGGTGCGAGCAACCGGCCCGCGAGGCGCAGCTCCATCCGGACCTTCTTCTGGATCAGCACCCAATCGGACAACTCAACAGGGTCAATCCAGTAGCTTACCTGCACAGAACGGGCCTCGTGGACACATCGGAGTGCGCATTGCCTCTTTCGATGGACCTGCGCAGCAGCCTCAGCTGCTCGCAAAGTCCTCACTCGCACGCGCCGCAGATGTTCCTCTCACCGCACCCAAAGGTCCCAGAAGGCCAGAGCCGCTGCCTGGTCGTCCTTCGCCTGCCGCTCGTGGTAGCAGCCCGGAGACGAGGAAGATGTACGCTTCTAGAGAAGTCGCGCTGGTGAGGCGAGCTTTGCAGAAGGTGGACGAGATGGGTCGCATAGAGAAGCAGCATCTCGCTTCTTGCCAAGAAAGTGGAGTGCGAGGGGTCGGCGAAGCTATACTGACCCTTTGGCAGGTGAGCGGGTGATGAGCAGCGTTGCCGAGACAGAGCAATCTTACTCACACATGTCTTGATGCTCTTTCGTGCCAGACATCAAGACCTGATGATCGATGGCAACGCAAGAGGGAAGGTCTGCTGTGCAGAGTGCAAAAAGCCATCGACAAAGGCTGGCCCGATCAAGGTCTGATCGTCACTCCGTTCGGCAGCAGCGTGACAGGCTTGGAAGGCGCCGAGAGCGACATGGACTTGGTGCTGCTGGATCAGACAAGGCCGCTCGGAGCAGCTACTGTGAGTATGCTTGTTTCGCGGGGCGTGACTCGCAGCAGCATCGCCAGCAAGCTGACTCACTTTGTCTCACATGACTTGTGTCGGAACGCTTTCAGCCACTTCATCTCACGTTGCCGAGTCCGAGGCCGGTGCGCCTTGTTCGCGGTATGCCGGACTTTTACGACGTCTACACCGTCAGCAAGGCGCTTAGACGGCAAGGCTTCGAGTCCGTCGTTCCAGTCGCCTACGCTGCCGTTCCGATCGGTGAGCGCGTTCGGATGAATCGTTGATCTTGTCTGGCTGTCGTCTGGCTGAACACCTTATCGCCATGGCTTGGGCATCTAGTCAAATTCAAGGACTCGAGAACCGGACTTGATCTGGACCTCAACATTAATGATCGCTTTGGGCTTCAGAATTCAGCACTGATCAAAGCTTACGCAGAGTTGAGACCCCAGCTGCTCCGACCGCTGATCTTCGCTGTCAAGCACTGGGCCAAACGAAGATTCTTGAACGATCCAGCTGGAAATTTTGGACAACCGTCTATGAGCAGTTATGCCCTCTCTCTCCTGGTCATACAGTATCTGCAGTCCACTGGCGACTTGCCCAATCTTCAATCTCCTCAGCTTCTGAGAGCTCTGAACATGCCTAAAGAACGCATGTGGAAACCTCCTCGGCCTCAAGCGCCGAATGTCATGGCTAAGATTTTGCAGGCGCGAGAGCGAGATCGCAAGCAAGGCAAGCATGTAGCTGAACTGGTGGGGGCAAAGTCGTACGAGACCACATTTACCTTTTTGCGGGACCCGCACGAGTGTGCCAAATACCGCCAAGAGCCACAAAGTCTTGCTGAGCAGCTTGAAGCACTTGGCACTGCCTTTGCCGGCTTCTTTGCGTGGCTGCGCGGAAGTTCGGGACTGTTCAAGACTTCTGCAGCTTCTATCGTTGCTGGTGGCTTTATACCGAGGACGCCGTACATGACTGAAGCGGAAAGGAAGCTAGCGAAGAAGAAGAATCGAGAGGCTAGAAGTCAGGCAGACCCGCAACACCGGCAAAAGGAATCCACCGCCTTGATTCGGACCACAGATGGTCAGCAGACCAGCAACGACATCGAGATGGAAGCATCAGACACGACCGCGATTTCTGAAGAACCTGACGACTCTACCGTGTCCGTGGACGAGTCGATAGAACTATCAGAGCCTCCTAGAGATAGCGATCATGGCGGCGAGAAGTCTGATCCAGCAGCGGGGAGAGCTTTCGATGAATCTGCTCCACGTCACTGGGACGATTCCGACACTACAGACGTCATCTCACTAGAACGGTACGATGAGCCAGAGTCGTGGGCCAACAACCCCATCGTCGTGCAAGGTGAGGAGGAGTTGGGTTGATGTCAAAGCATGCTCCTGATGAGTCTTTGCTAACAGCCAACGGCCTGCTCAGATCCCTTCATCGTCGACCGCAATTGTAGCGGGGCAATCAGGGAGGTGACAGCTCAAAGATTCGAAGACGAGGTGGAAAGAGCCACTGGCATGCTTGCACGAGCGCTGCAGGCGAGGAGAGGCGCGCAGTCCAGCGCCGCATTGGTCCTGGCTGATCTTTGCGAAGACGTTCGCATTGCAGATGCGGGCTATTACGTGCATGATGTTGAGGAGCGGACAGTGGGCATGACCATTTCCAGAAGTCCCACGACTTTCATTCGACCCGAAATGCCTGAATCTTTTGGTCGAAACGGGTCGAGAATCCTGGCACTGCTCGACAAGCCAGAGCGCGACGAGCTTGATCAGCTCTTGCAAACGCAGGCTTTGGAGGATGAATTGGAGAGAAACACGCGCCAGACACGGGCCATGGTTGAGAGACGCGAGTTCATGGCCGGCAGAGAAGGGAAGCGACAGCACCGAGGTGGCGCACGAGACAGAGCGAAACGAGACACAAACCAGCATAGCTCGAAAAGTCACGACAAGCTGCTCGGGACGACTCGAGCACAGTGAACAAGTATGGAAAATATCGGGCGGGAATCTGGCGAGAAAAGATGGAGGTACCGACGCAGCTCGCAAACCTGAACACAATGCACGCTGAATGCGCAGTGAGACGTCCACGAGGATTGAGACAAGGGTCACCTAGAGACGAGGGGCCAAAGTCTTTGACGCCTCGCGTCTGACTGAAGCTTGTCATGGTCCACGTGCAAAAGTCCCGCGTCCGCGTTGTGTCACCACCTTCTCCATGCCTTTTTCCTCCTGCGTTGAGCACACATGCTCCTTTCATCCCACTTCCAAACGGTGGGCAACTTGTATTCACACGTTCCCGGCATTCCACCGCCTGTACTTCTCCCTGACACCTTTTGTCCCTCCAACCTCCGCTACGACCCAACATAGTAATTCCGCGTTTTCTTTTTGAGCGGTTTTGAGCTGACATGGCCCAGGACCTGGAGGAAGACAAGACTGACCACGCAAAGCGGAGAGCTTGTGCGCCAAATGCAAGTGAATGATGACCATTTAGAGATTGCAAAGCGCTGTCGAAGAGCTACAAGGTGACCTGATCTACTCTTCGTGCTCGGCCAACAAACGATGCCCCTCTTTTGAGTTGTAGAATTCGTTCTTTGCGACACTGCACGGCATAGAGTGGCGCGTTACACAAGTGAATGCGCCGGTCAGCCCTGGACAGCTTGGAGGGCGTGCGCAGGAACAAGCACTCACGACCAAGAGTAGATGCCGTAACCGGCTGCGAAGGGAATGCCAAAGTAGGTCATGCGCGCCATGATTCTTTTGAAGCCGAAGAAGAGGTAACCATGCAGCGCTCCCTTCATGGGATTTTGCTGAAAGGGAGAGATGGCTGAGTGTGACGCAAGAGAGTGGAAGAGGGATGAGGGAATAGTCGATGGACACGCTCAGTTGGATCGGACGTGACAAGAGCTCCGCTGATCCGTGCAGTGGCACCTCGAGGCTGGAGAGGAGCATCTCTTGATATGCAAGCCAGCTTCGCAATTTGGCACGCAGCGAGCCGCTGCCCCCACTTCCTCGCACGCCTTCACGTAACGCGCTCCAGATGTGCCCCGGCTTCGAGAGGAGATAGCTACAATATTCGGCCGGCGTACTCACAGTACTGAATCAGACCCTTTTGCTTGGGACCTCCAAAATCGCCCCACCATCCCATCTATTCGCATTCGCATCCGCGCCAAGGCAAGGCAAGAAAAGAATTCGCGATCAATCCAGCGCACAGCGGCAACACAAATCGAGGGGACGAATATGGAGAGGGGGATGGGGGGTGGGGGAGAGAGCGAGCATCAGCATCGCTTCGTCTCACACAGACTGCCGGGAAAGGGAGCGTGCAAGGCATGTACTCACGTACTTCTTGCCCGTGGGCATACCGCTCTCGACGGGAGCTGATGGCCTCATCTTGTGTGAAAGTGCTTCAAACAGCTAGCTTCTGGATTCGTACCGTATCTTGCTCGCGCTGCTCAGAATCGAATGTCTGGTCGAGGCTGGATGGGGGGT